AAAAAGTATTCATTGTTCAACACTTAACTCGATATCTTTTTACTCAGTCAAAGTTTCAATTTTAGTAATAATAATAATGACTTTATTCTAAACAGTACTTTCGGTAAAAATATGGAATTCCCGGCATGTTCTACAGTATTGCATCTAATTTTCCAAATTATTACACAGGTAATAATTAAACGGGGCCGTTACATTCATAATATTACTAAGTAAGAGTATGAGTTTAGAATTTAAGTTGAAACATTGAAAACAAAGTTTTAATGATAGAAAGAATAAAAAGGGCCGTTTACTTGTTGTCTCGTAGTAAGTTAGTAGATAGCCATGCCTTGCAATTTTCTCATCACACAAAATATGTGACTACCAAATAAGGTATTGTAGAGTTCTTACACTTAATCATCCGAGCATAAAGTTGTCTACACCTTCTCCTAGTTCCTCTGTCTGATTAGATGCATCAAGGAGAGAGTTGTGTATGGAGGGGATTCTCAGGGTTCGATAAGATGATATTCGCTAATTCCTCGCATGAATCCATGTGTCTATGAACAACAGTATTAACAAGTTGATTCATCGACATCCCGCTGGCTCTACTGACAGCTTTTCTGCCCAGAGAAGTCTTTCTTAGGTCGCCTGGGAAAGATTAAGGCGGGAGAATAAAGAGGAATAGAGAGAATGGAGGAATTAACAAACTGTAAGTTTAGAGACCGACTGAGTGATACCAGATTGTTTTAACTTCCTTAAATACACGTTTAGACGAAATGTATTTCAGAAAGACCAAGAAATATGAAATCTACCGTGGTTGTTCCATTCAAGGTCATCGATGCACTAGTTTCTTTGAGGTCGTCAAGTTTAACTTCGCTAGCAATTTTTCTCCTACATCATCAGTAATTCGAGCAAGTAAAATTTAACGAAGAAACTTAGATTATTTAGAAATAGTCAATAATGGCGAAAATACAACCGTGCGAATATTGATTTCAACCAACAGAAAAATTGAAGGACACGTCTTACAGACTAACATGAAATGGTACATTACATTTCAGGAGAATTAAACACGCATTAGGACTTAAACATAAAGCCTGAAGGGAGAAAAAACAGTGTCACTTTTGTGACTCAAAAAGACGTTTATGTTTTATCCCACATGGACCCTTTCGCATAACACCATAAATCGATAATATTAATGCTTGACAGTGTCCTTATGCGCCAATTTTAATGAAAACATAAAAATATACAGTCTACATGAAGAAGTATCTTCTGGAGGTGATCTCGTCAAGGAGCATTATCGTTTTGGGGCGAACCGGACGACTTTAAAAGTGTTTATCATCATAGGAAAATAATATTGTCAACAGTTTTTTTTATTTCCACTCCTTTTGCATTCCCAGTGGAACACGGGGCTTCAGGCTTGAATTTTGAAGTTTCCGCAGTCACGGTGGTCTTACGGGATGAAGTTGCTAGCCTCACGCCCTACTTTACCTGTTTATTAGCTTTACGATCGGCTAAGGGAGATATAAGTATGCGCCAGCAGGAACCCGGACCACGTCGTGCTAGGTTGGTGAGCATTCTACCGTCAAACCACCGTCGAAACCCCTTCACACCACCTTTTCTTATTTGTAAGCTGTAAACTGTTTAAATTCCCCAGATTTCAGAAAATGACATAATACTTTAATCTTTTTTATGTTAAACTCATTGCACGAACCGAATTCAATTACATAAAACGTGAATGTAGAAAAGGTTAAGTGCGTTTATTTTGGTGTTCATCCCTATTAAGATTTTGTCAGCAAGCACTGCCTGAATGCACTGACGAGATAAATACTCATAACTAAAAAATCAGTATTCAGAATAATATGAGTCCCGCCTAGTTCAAATTTATTTGTTACTTATGAAAAATCAATAAAATGGAAACAATCAGAGAATGAATATATTATTGAAGATGAAAAATTCTTGATATTAGATTGTTGGAGGTGATGAACAGGAAGCCCTGCCCGACTTATGTTTCATGCTAGTTGGCACTCATCAATCAGTCAGTAAGGCCAACTACAATCACCTTGAAGGAACTCATGTTCCTTCTGAGATTCAAATCCGCGCCCCCCAGTGAGAGCTGCAGTTAGAGACGTTACCATTAAGGAGGTATTTGGCCTCGCCAGTGACATCCTGGTGGCCACATTCCGAAAGTGACTACTGGTGGAATTCAGTCTGCATCAAACAAACGACTAGATACAGTACACTAGTCACCAACTAGTATCCAATCAAATAAATATAATTCCCTATGAAACTGTTGCTGATTTAGTCAATTTATTTACCTATAGGGTTCTTTTCAAATGTTGATTCAAAAGGATTTCATTGATTTCAACCATTGAGAACTAGGTAGCACTGGACAGCTGATTCATGGGTGAACAGTATCAGTATTCACGAACCATCGAATTATAACCGAGTGACCGAACAATCAATGAGTTGTCATCGGGACCTGAATGTCCTAGTTTCGATTCCCAGTAGGGTCATGAGTACGTGCTGCTAAAGAATCCTAAATTAGGACGAAACGAATATCTGTTACTCCCCGGTTTTCATACATTACAAATACTGTTTATGGAATAAAGCAGGTTATTACTATTATAATTATTATCCCCCCTTATTGATTTAAATAAAGCAAGAACGAAAGTTTGTGCAGAATAATGTGGTACCATCATTTATTTCTCTTGGCTCCCATCATCAGCTGCGTACAGATGGGAAATGTTATATAATGTCATTTAATGACAGCAGGTTCGAAACTTCATAAACAGTGCTCAGAAAATCACACTTATGTGTAGTTTCTACCAACAGAGTTCAAGTTTAAACAAAAAATTTAAAAAATGTTTGTATAGAGTGGTAAGGCAGTTACATAATAAAGACAACAGGTGAGTAAGTTGGTTCCCATTTATCGGACAACATGATCTTTGGTAGAATTAAAAGTCTCATGTTTATAAAAATTTACATTTATCTGAGGTAGTAGTTACATAGGGAAAACAGAAAGAAGGACACACCTCCAGTTTTATGAACATGGACCGAAAAGCCTACATCTCAAGGGAACAGACACTTACAATAGTGCCATCGCCAAACATCTCCTTGGTACAGATCATGAGGTAGAATAGAAATCCTTTAAAATCGTCAGTGGACAGAATTGTTCAATTCACCACAAGTTTGTCAACCGAAACAATCGCTACCAGACTTTCTTTGCCTTCGTGTAACTGCATGTCTTTATTCTCTCTTTCATTTGACGATATAATTTTTTGGCTTTAACCTGTCTCCCCTATGATGCAGTGTCATTTGGCTTGTCTCTGGTTCCAATGATTTGAGTTGAGATCACCACACTGTTACTCAATTTATCAGTTGCTCATCATCTTACTCACTTTTTGCCTTTATTATGCAACTATTTTACCATTGTGCACAAATATTTTTATATTTTTCAAGTGTTTGTTTGTAGAGATTCGATTTGTTTTTCAAGTTTGATAACGCAGTGATATCAGTTAGAGAACCGTTGAAAACCAGTAATGGAGTACTGGACAGTTGTTTCGTCAGTCTAGTTTGGGACTCTGATGGGGTTCGAACCCAGAACCTTCCGGCTACATGGTAAGCTCGTAAACTATTCAGCCACTGAGCGAGCACCGGCAAATATGGAAACTCGGTCGGTGCACACTGTGGATGAGTCCCAGACTAGGACGAAACAGCCATCCGGTACTCCCGGTTGGTTTCCAATGGTTCTCTAACTGATATCAAACCGTGGTCAAACTTGAAATTTATTTTGCTGTTTGAATTTGAACTCTCCGGTTAAAAACTATATACATAAAAGTGTAATTCTCTGAGTAGTGTTGATTAAGTTTGGAGCCTCCTGTCATTAACTGACATCATGTAACATTTGCAAGCTCTACACAACTGATGGAGGGAGCTCTATTCGAGTGTCAATTCATAATCTATCTATAGGCTTCTGTCTGTATATCAATGAGTTATCTCTGCTCACCGACTCCCCCATGGTCCTATACGCAGATGACTTAAAAATTTGGAGAGAGCTGAAGGGCAACAGTGACACGTTCACGTTGCAAGAGGACCTCAACAAATTTTCAGAGTGGTCCATAGAATGGATGCTTCCGATAAATGTGGCAAAATGTGCAACCATGAGCATTGGAGAAGCAAGCGCGAGCTCCTACGAACTAGAGGGAATAACACTTCCATCAGTTCAGACTCACTTGGACTTAGGTGTCATAGTTAGCCACGACTTAAAAACTACAGCACACTGCCGCGTGGTGGCTGCACGTAGTTTCAGGTCATTATGGGCAATTCGCAGAGCCTTCACTAGAATCACCAGAGATATGTTCACCTCTTTATATACATCTCTGGTGAGGTCAAGACTGGAAAACTGCATCCAGGCCGCCAGCCCTTGTCTAAAAGGGGACTCACACATTCTAGAAAGGGTTCAAAGGAAGGCAACACGTATGGTTCTCGGAATGACTAATTAATAACACGAAGAAAGATTAGACAGTTTAAATCTCTTCTCCCTGTCATACCGTAGGCAGAGAGGAGATTAAATCACAATGTTTAAAATTTTAAATAATGACTACGGAAATGACCTATTCTCTCTTTTCCTTCCCACCAGGTCGGAACACCTTAGAGGACATAGCAGGAGAGTTCAAAAGCCAAGAAGAAATCATATTGCTGTTGAGTACTGGTTCTCACACCGAGTCATAAACTCTTGGAACCGATTCCCAGAAGAAGTGGTGTTTGCAACCTCAACTGAATCGTTCAAGAAGGGTTTGGACAAGCGGAGAAATTTACTAGAAAAGGATCAACATAGGCTCCAAGCCTTCTATCCTCAACCAATAAATCTAAATCTACACCAATTAACATAACAGATCCGAAAACACACACATCTTTACATCAATCAATCAATAAATACAATAACAATCAAAATATTGGGATAATTGAATAAATGAAACTAAACAAATCAATACATTAATTTTTTTTTCATTTTGGCAACTTACATTCAGTAAAACTTCCGGTTTATCAGTCTCATCATCATTAATTGTTGATTTATCCAAAAGTGATTTTGTGTGTACACAACCCATAATTTATCCCCCCACGCTTTTTCTCCCGTGCAATAATCAAAAGCAATCAAAAATCAGAAGAAAAAAAATAGTAATATAAATAATCCAAGGGGATTTTTGGGGATCTTATTTTAAAATGTATTCATGTGACGTTGAAGAGTAGTCAATCCGGAGTAGTAGTTAATCTTTCATGTGTTGTTGACTTTTCATGCCATACGCACATCTATCTCAATCAGAGTGACTGGACTAGAGATTATGTTGACATATGTGATGATGTGTTTGTTGTTTTCTTTTGTCGGCGTGAGTTTTAATCAAAATTATCGATCTTTGAAATTCTTATCCCGTTGAATATTGAAGCGTATAATTATTATTATTAAGTTTGTAATCATATATGGCATAATGAATGATCAAGTGAAATTAAAGACTCTCTGTGTTGTATCGCGTGTGAGAGATAGAGACAGCGTGTGAGTGAGTGAGTGAGGGCGAGTAGAAATCAAGTTAGTTAGTCTCCTACTATATGTGTGAGACTATCACTTAACAATTTCTGGTCAAAATGATTTAACCAATAAGATACTCTGTCTACACATGTAACACAACACGAGATTTGATGCCTTTATTGGTTGACTGGTGATTGGTTGACGAGACTAATAGACGAATGATTATTGGAGAATTGACCAGTTAGAATGAAGGCTATTTATTACTGAATGAATCTTAATAGTAGTAGTAGTAGTAGTAGTAATCTTATCTCTTTGGTAAAAGATAATTGGTTAGGATGAAAATTAGATGAATGAAATTGTGAAAAAAAAAGATTACAGTAACAGACCAAATGTGTATCATGAAAGCCAAATCATTTCCCACTACAAGTGAACGCCAGTGCGAAGAGACTCTTTTCAACAACGAATTTATTATCAAGCTGTACAGTCGTACAGATATGGTGTTTTTTAGAAATTATATTCCATGAAAGAATTGAATCATAAGTGTGAATACATAAAACAATAATAATAATTGTGGTGTGAAATGCGATTATAATGTTTGTGATTAAAATCATATTGGTTGGAGCAATTCATCATGAGCTGATGTCAGTTACAGCTGTTTCGTCAGCCCACTTTGGGACTCTTCATCAGTACGCACCCACTACAGGAGGTTCGAACCCAGGATCTTCTGGTTACAAGGCGAGCTAGCTCGTAGACTATTCAGCAGCCACTGGGAGTTGATCCAGCAGTCAGCCCATGAATTCTATCTTCTACCAATTGATGACATAGCGCGACCTCTTCCCAATATCTTCTTCGATGAGTTACTGCCTCATCTTCAACCTGCTGCACCTTACTGGTCACGGTTTCCCACTAGAACCCCAGGTTAACTGCCTGAATAGGGCCAGTCGCTAGTAAGCCTCAGATAATTGAAGATAATAATCATAGTTAAATATCAGGTGTCAAGTGGTAAAACAAATAATGTCCATATATATATATAAAAAAATTCATAAAATATATGGATGTTAGAAGGGGTGTGTTACTATAAGTTCAGTAGGCAAATATAAAACGGTATTCATTATTATAAAAGATTTTGTATATCCCAGTGAGTGATGTTGTTTTTTCTCTGACATTTCGCTATTTAATACTGCTAAAAGCTTTACGAAAGTAGTATTATTAAACGAGAATTTACAAAATCTCAGCTTACGTATAAAACAACTCAGTCACCATTCATCAGCATCAGATGGTAATGTTTACATTGTTGTCAAGTGGAGATGAATGTTGGCTTTGATAGATGTATAAACTTATAGAATCAGCATGTGTTCACACAATGAAATTGCTTATCATATTCGTGTTGTTGCTGTCGGTTCACCAGTTTCCCCAATAGTTGTTGGTCTTTTCGTGAATAGATATGAAGATAACATCTTTTCAAGCATACTCACACCCAAAATATGGTTAAGATAGGTTGGAGATACGTTTATTGTGCTAAATGAGATCTACACAATTCATTCTTGGAGAAACTGAAAAGTCTATCTCCCAGCACCCAGTCTACTTCGGAAGCAGAATCAGACGTCGGTGAACTACCATTTCTAGACTACCTAGTCAAAATGAAAGACAACGGATATTTTAATATATCTATATTCAGGAAGAAAACACACTCTAACAAATATTAAGACTTCGGATCATCAAAACCCATCAGCGCAAAGGTATCAGTTGTTTCAAGTCTTCTTAGACGCGCACACTCTCTGATAACGGATGAGAAGGAAAAACAAAAAGAAATATCAAACATTACTGAAACTCTCAAGCAAATCAACTACCCAAAGAACGTTATCAACAAAATCAACACTGACATTAATTATGGTCGAAAATGTGTTACGAAAACATATATCTCAATGGCTGTCATTCCATATAGATCAGAAACGTGAGATGATATCAGAAGAGTACTCAATAAGCTGGACATCAGAGTTTTCTTCAAAACGTTGGACACACTGCGAAGCAACCTCATCCATTTAGAAGACCAAATTTCAGAGGATTCTCAATCTATCTGTGTCTATAAAATAAAGTACTTGGAATAAGCTACGATAAACACTGAAGAAATCTCTCCAGAGAGGATTCAAGATCAGAAGAAATGAACACCGTAGAGAATCCGCTCGACCACCGAGAAATCTAGTTGAACTAGAAAAGCTTGAAACATCATCAGCCATAGGTCTACACGCGACATTGTAGAATCAGGTTAAAAAATTGATTTTGACAATGGTGAAATAATCCATAAAAATTTCGGAAATCACAAAGAAAGTCTAATATCATCAGAAGCACTTCATATCAAATGGAATCCAAATTGTCTGAATAGGAATGATGGACTAAAACGGAATTTGAAGTGGTTACAGCACCCTTGAAATGGCAAAATCAACATGAATGTGTGATAAGCAATTTCATTATGTAAACACATGTTGCATCTGTAATTTTATACACTTATCAAATCAAACAGTCATCTCCACATGGTTTTTTTATCTGTACTAATTGGCCAACTTGACAACAACGTAAAAATTACCACCTCATGCTGATGAACGATGATTTTTTTAAATTTTTGATTATAGCTTGAAACCACACAGTATTTTTCGTACAAGTAAAGAATTTCCAGCATGTGATATCGGTAGCCCAAATTATGCAGCCGATCATAGATATCAGTTGTGCGTCGGCAGGGGTCAAACCCCGAACCATGTACATGGTCGGCGAGAGTCCTAACCTCTGTGCCACCAACGCACTAAGATTTTGTAAATTCTGGTTTAATATTACTATTTTGATAAAGCTATCAGCACCATTTGAAATAGCAAAACGTCAGTAAAAACAACAATATCGTTTTGTCTTTTTCATTCATTGGGAAATACAAAATCTCTTGTAATGACGGATATCATATACTCAATGCCCAAAAAAATTTTCGAACTTTTAAAAGTTAATTTGGTTTGGACATATATAAATATAAAATGTTACATAATATGTGAAATTTGATAGGACAGAATATAACATCTCAGAAATGTTTTGATTTAGAATAGCAAGTGACACAAGTGAAATAATGTTGGAAATAGTTCAAAGTGAGAATAATGACTATAATAGATGTAGTAATGAGGGAAAGGTACATAGATAAACTAAGGAGATGTACATACTTTTTTGTACACAAAGGTCCGGCCTAATTTCACGAATGGCTAAGGTCTTCAATGTCGTTAGAAGTTTAGCAGGAGGAGGAAACGCGGTAAGTTGGAATGAAATCGATAGATGATGATCTTAAAACCTTGCTTAGTATATGCAGAGTAACAATAGTCAATCAAATAAGCTCTAGAATAGAGCTTCTCACACCCTTCCTTTCTCTCTTACAAAACTATGCTGTTGGAATATGTTCTTGAACTTGATATTTAATTATGATTATAATCACAAATATTTTAACTGCATCTCATACTATTATTAATTTATAAAATTTCCTTTTAAGGTTAAATACATACAAACACATGAACACCGTGAGAACAGATAAGGATCAGTTCAAATGAACTGTGATCAAAATTTGATCGAATGTTTCCAAAATAATTGAGCTCTGAATGAAGAGTAAACAAATGTAAAACTTGTGAAATCTCAGTGAAATTGAAATAAGTGATTCCAACGTTTCGTTGGGTAAACTGGTCTGGAACTTCTTCAGGAGAATTAATCATAAATGAAAATAATAAAGGTATATATACAAAAAGGATACAAATATACATAAACAAATATACAATCTATAAGCTATGTGGATGAGTAATAATCTGTTAACGTCATAATTAGAGTGAATAATATTCATCAAAGCACATATTAACAATTATAAATAAGTTAGAGAACCATTGAAAACCAGCACTGGAGTACTGGACAACTGTTTCATCCTAGTTTGGGAATCATCGGCAGTACGCACCTACCAACAGGGTTAGAACCCAGGACCTTCCGGTTACAAGACAAGCTGGCTCGTATACCATTCAGCCACTGGGACCCGATTCAATGGCCCGGTGGGTGCGTACTGCCAATGATTCCCAAACTAGGATGAAACAGCTGTCCAGTACTCCCTGGTTTTCAATGCTTCTCTAACTGATATCAATCCGTGATCAACTCGTAAAAACAAATCTGATCTGTACAAATCAACCATAGAAAATTATAAATAACTAGATATGATGATAATAATAAGGAAACGTAGTCATAAACACAAATAAGTAGATAGTCTGAACACTCCTCACCAAGAATAATACTCAACGATGACCTTTCCGATTTGCATATATCGTGAGAAAACTAACAGTTTGTCGGATAAAATAATAATAAAAATGGAAAAAAACATTGTGAAGAGAATAGGGAAGGGAAGGGAAGCTATCAAAGTGAAATGAGTGTTACTAGGGTAGATTTAAGCTAACTGCTGTCTCATTTTTATGTACACAGAGATACGGCTCCTGTAATCTGATTATACAGACAAGCTTCGCTGAAACCGAGACCTTAAAGTTTAATTACCTCGCTTGTGAATAACTTTAAATCTCTTGGTGAGCGTCACTGTATGACCTCAAATGAACTTTTCGAGATGCCATAATGAGTACTGCAAAGCCATTTTGGACAGTGTTCGGCAACGCGTGTCTGAAGGCATCTTTCCGTATGCTCAATGTATGTGCTTCCACAAACATATGAAATGAAGTACATAGTTTGACGTGGCGAAGATCAATACCCTATCTTTACCTGTTACTTGCACTACCTTTTCGCTGTGTTTATGATAAGTGTATCAGGTACATAACGGGTTCATTCAAATGCTTTCGCCAACCGAGTAACGGTATCTCCCTTGAAAGGCAACTTTACATAAGCCTTCTGTTTAGATTTCAAATTTATTTGGAGCATGTGTTAATCCTTTTCTAGTAAATTTCTCCGCTTGTCCAAACCTCACTTGAATGAATCACTTAAGGTAGCAGACACCACTTCTTCTGGGGGACTATTCCAAGAGTTCAT